TGTAAGTCAAAATGAGCCGAGAACAACCAGAAGACAAAAAATGAATAGCAACTTAAATCAATTTATTGAGTAATGAAGAAAAGAACAAATTACATTTTCTTTAGAATTTCTTCAAATGTTTCTTTATATTCCAAAAGACGTGGATGATCCGAAGGTAATTTTTCTTGAGCTATTTCTATCGCTTGTTGAACATTTTCTATTGCCATATTATATTGCCGAATAGATAAATATAATTTTGCCATATTATGAAAAACTACAGCTAAATCAGAATGACTTTTTGGTAATTTATTCTGACGTATTTCTAATCCTTTTTGAAAATATGTCAATGCTGTTGAATAATCTTTCATTTCACGATAAGTTTCACCTAAATGTATATATGTCAATGCACATTCCAGAGGATTACATTGAACATTTTCTTGAATATTTAATGCTTTTCGATGAAATGAAAGTGCCTCTTCATAATCATCCATTAATCTATGAACATCACCAATATCACTGTATGTAGTAGCTCGATCTGGATGATTGTCAGGTAAGGCTTTTTGACGTATTGAGAGACACTTTTCGAAATTGTCAAGTGCTTTTGAGTAGTCTTTCATACCGCGATAAATCTTTCCTAACCATTTATATGGAAAAGCCATATCAGGATGATTTGGAGGCAGAGCTTGTTTTGTAATTTCAAGGACCTTTTTAGAATATTCAAGTGCTGCCGAGTAGTCACCCATGTTGAAATACACTGCACCAATGTTGCTGTAGGAGATAGCCAAACCGAGATGATTCGGAGACAGAGCTTTTTCTCTTATTTTAAGTCCTTTTTCATGAAACTCAAGTGCTTTTGAGTAGTCATCCATGTCGTTATACACCAAACCGATGTTGTTGTAGGAAGTACCCAATGAGGGATGATTCGGAGATAGAGCTTTTTCGTAGATTTTATGTGATTTTTCGTAAAACTCAAGTGCTTTCGAGTAGTCACCCATGTTCTTATACACTCCACCGATGCTGTTGTAGGAACCAGCCAAATGAGGATGATTCGAAGGCAGAGCTTTTTCGAGGATTTGATGTGATTTTTCGTAAAATTCAAGTGCTTTCGAGTAGTCACCCATGTTCTTATACACTCCACCGATGCTGTTGTAAGAAGTAGCCAATAAGGGATGATTCGAAGGCAGAGCTTTTTCGGAGATTTTATGTGCTTTTTCGTGATATTCCAGTGCTTTCGAGTAGTCACCCATGTTGTTATACACTTGACCGGTGTTGTTGTAGGAAATAGCCAATGAGGGATGATTCGGAGGCAAAGTTTTTTCTTGTATTTTAAGTGATTTTTCGTAAAACTCAAGTGCTTTCGAGTAATCATCCATGTCGTCATACACCAAACCGATGTTGTTGTAGGAAGTAGCCAATGAGGGATGATTCGAAGGCAGAGCTTTTTCGAAGATTTTATGTGCTTTTTCGTAAAATTCAAGTGCTTTTGAGTAGTCACCCATCTTGTTATACACTTGACCGATGTTGTTGTAGGACAGAGCCAAATCTGGGTCATCAGGAGACAAAGCTTTTTCTTTCATTTTAATTGTTTTTTTGTAGAATTCCACTGCTTGAGAGTAGTCACCCATGTTGTTATATGCGACACCAATGTTGTTGTACGTATTAGCCAATGAAGGATGATCTTCTGGTAGAGTTTTTCGTTTAATTTTGAGAGACATTTCATAAAATGAAGCTGCTTCTGTATATAGTCCTTGATCGTTTTTCAACCATCCAAGCTGGTGGTAGATATGTGCTTTAGCGCTGTCGTTAGAAGCCTGTTCTAGTAGTGCCGTATATAATTCTTCGGCCTTGTCAAATTGACCAATTGTGAGCAGCAATTGACCCAGCCGATACCATCCAGTGCCGTGAACCTCTTCTCGTATACGGTCGGTTAATTGACGAAGCTGTTGGTCATCATCAGACGTAAGTTTGAGGTCCACTTCATAAAGTGGACTTTTCTTGTCAAGTTTTCGAACTTCACCAATTCGAAAAACGGTGTGCATGGAGAAGAGAATTTCCTTTTCATCCTTGTAATAACTCACTTCCTCGATGGAAGCAAAAGAAGTCGATGAGACTGTGGGATCGATGGTCATTTGAAAGAGGATACCAACCATATCGGTTGCTCCTAAGGTGCCTTCGGCAAAAGCGAAGGAGACATCACGATCTGTGCTGGTGGATAAAAAATTATTAAAAGATATGAGACCACCTTTGTTTTTTGCAAGTTTTTCGAAGTCGCTTGTCGATAATCCTTGGCCCCTATACACTAGAAACGATTTCCCATGATACTGACTGACCTGCTTGCTGTGTAAAGCTTCAATTTGTCGATGAACATCACACAAGAAAAAACCCATTCTGATGATAATGTCACCATCCAATGCTCGTAAGGCCCGATTGAGCATGTTGAACGTGAAGCATAGGCGTGTATACCACCATAATGCCAGCGTTGGATGATAAGTACTTTGAAATTCATCGATTAACTCGAGTCCTTTGGTATTGCCCTTGTATTGTTCTTGGCAATATGTAACGAAGTATTCAATGGCTTCTTGGCCAAGTTCCATATCAAGGATAATTTCCTTGAATATTTGGGTATACATGAAGGAAGGTGGTAGCTGATTGAGATTTTCCCTAGAACCACCTTCATTTGCACCAATGATGCTTATCGGAGTGGTATTTTGATTGCATTGCTTGACAGCTATTTGCAATGCTTGACATATGGAGTTAATTGTAGTATGGACACCTTTAATTTTTGTCCAATTTTTGGCCCATACTTCATGATGTCGTTTGTTACTACATAAGATGTATATAGCATCTAATTTTGGCATGTGATGAACATCTGGTACAAGATGTTGTCCAAGTGCACCAGAGGAGATAACAAATGATGTTTTCTCCTTATTATCATTGAGATGTTGAATACATTGTTCAGCTGTTGTGCAAGAAGTGACTTGGTTAACGACACCGCGCAATTGTGCGAGTGTATGTTGGCGATCTTCATTTGTCATATCAATATTTTCATTGACCCAGATGACCAAATAGTTTTCAGCCATGTGTCGTCTTTGTTGTCCGCTCATTTTGAGTAAAATGTTTGCTGGTTGATCGAGAATTGAGTGTGATTCAATAATAAAAATAGCTATTTGGACAGATTTTACCTTTTCTGTTTATACAGTCGATGTGCGTTGTTTTTTCTGGATTTTTCTACGACGTCACATGTGAGTATTTTTTTTTCGTTAGCACTGAATAACAAACATTACCTCGTTTCAATCGAAAATATGGTTGTAAGCAACAAATGAAAGGAAAAAACCCACTAACGTCATTTATTTTATGATTAGTTTTTTACGACTTGCATTTATTTTTCATGCGTGTAATAACTTCAATATTATTTCATTAGATACCTTGTCTCACATCTTGTTTATATTAAAGAATCTTGTTTTTTGTGTAGGGTGTGGGTGTGGGTGTGGGTGTGGATGTGGGGTGTGGATGTGGGGTGTGG